AGTCTTTATCCCCAGCTAGCAGCAGTAGGAAACGACGTAATCCCACTGCTGATTATATACAATACAAGAAAAAATATTATGAGGAAAAACAAAACCACTGGCGAGAGAGGTATGAAGAACAAAAGTTGTTTCGGCAAGAACATTTACGATTAATGCAGGACAGAAATAATGTTCTGAAGCAAAAAAATGAAATTGAAGAAAGGAAAATTCGAGCAATTGAAAGCCTCATCAAGAATAGTACAAATAGTATGAATTAATTAGTCTGATGTTTGAGACATTCTGATGTTGTTTTTCGTTGTTTAGCATAGGAAAATCGTTCTTTGTTTTTAAAGAAAAGAAACTGTTGATGTAATTCCTTAATTTTGTATTTAATAACCTTAGAGTGAGAAATCTATTATTTTTATGTCTATGGTATTTGACATACTCCTGTATACAAGTCGATTAATATAGAAATGTTTTATTTGGCTGCTTTTCTTGGTGAAAAATCTTAACAGGTTATGGGCCCAGAACGCTATAAAGTTGAAAAACATGAGTACCAAACGAAAAGCCAAATATTGAAAACTATTTGAAAGATATCTCCACGAGGCTGATTTTAAGGTTATCCAACACGTGCATTCTGAGGTTATCCAAGACGTACTAAAAAAGAAGCATAGACATAGAACAATGGATCCAACAAGAATCATCAATGTCAGTCTTTTGGAAGGAAAGTCGAACTGGGATACGTGGAAGTACAAAATTACAATTTGTCTACGAGGAATTTCAGGAGCTCTGGATATCATTGAAGGCAGGTCAGTGAAGCCTAGTCCACTAGATGATGGTGCAAAGCCGGAAGAAAAGACGGCGTACCAAACTGCACTTGATGCATTTAATAAAACAGAGAGCAATGCATTGATTATCTTGACAAATAATATGACTGAGGAAACTCTAAAGAAAATTATGCGATTAACCAGTGCCAGGGAAGTATGGCTAGAATTACACAAACTTTTTGATGGCGTTTCAGAAGACAAAGTGTACAACCTGTGTCTACAATTCTTTAGTTTCAAAAAATGTTCCAGCGACGATATGGCTACACATATATCAAAATTAAAGAATCTATGGAGCGAGTTAAAAGTGGAAATGAGAAACGACGCTGATGGTAATACAGAACTGCCCGATTTGTTTTTGATTTGCAAAATTTTAGGTACGCTACCAGACAATTATTTTTCCTTCAAGTCAAGTTGGATGATGATGTCAAAAAGTGACAGAACGGTTGATAATTTGACAAATCAACTGTGTGCTTATGAGCGAGCCTTAAAAAACAATGAGGATGGATCATCGGGACAGGAAGCTCTCATTTTGGACTCATCAAAAAGAACTCCTACACAAGTAAGTTCGACCGAACAAAAGAAAAAGAAGAAGATACTTTGCAACTATTGTAAGAAACCCAACCATGTTATAAAAGTATGCAGAAAGTGGATTGCGGATGGAAAACCTCCAAAACTTGATAACAAGCCAGAACAAACTTCAAACATGCTTCTTTTGATTGTTACATCGCCAGTGATGAATTCAGAATGTGGTGCAGATGATTGGTATGTAGACAATGGCGCTACAAATCATATTTCAAGCGACAAAAGTTACTTTAAAACTCTCCAACCATTCACAACAGCACACTCAGTAACCACGGCAAACGGTGAAAGAATTGAAGCTAACGGCAAAGGTGAAGTTGACATAGAGGCAGCTATCGGAGGCAAGTGGCACAGGATCACTCTGACAGATGTATGGTGTGTTCCTGGAATAAAGAAAAATCTGTTTTCTGTTCTAGCTGCACACGACAAACACCCAGATAGTCAGTTTCTTTCAACCACAGAAATTGGAAATTTTAAAGTTGGCAAAGATGTAGTGTTAGTCGGTGTACGAAAACGTTATGGAGGACTTTTTAAATTGGCAGTGAGAAGCGTGAAACCTACGTCTCCAAATGAAGTTAATGTCACAGGCAAAGAGAATCTTTTGCAGCTATACCACGAACGACTTGGACATCAGAATAAACGACACGTGAAGTCATTGCTGGACAGAGAATTCAACGTTACGGTGAAAATGGATAGTGAACTGTGTGAAGGATGTATCTATGGGAAAGCTCATCGTCTACCTTTCGGTACCAGAGAAAAAACTACAAAGCCGGGAGAGCGGATTCACACATATGTTTGTGGGCCATTTGAAGAATCGATGTCAGGCTTTCGGTATTTTGTTTTGTTCAAAGATGATTGGACAAAATTCAGGACTATCTACTTTATTAAAGAGAAGTCAGAAGTTGCAGAAAAGCTAAGTCAGTTTATAGCAGAAACAAAAACCACGGGACATTTAATTAAGGAACTGTTGAGTGATAATGGAAAAGAGTTTGACAACAGAAGTAAGGAGAATCTTACAAAAAGAAGGTATAAACCACCGTCTTACGATGCCATATACTCCAGAACAGAATGGAACAAGTGAAAGAGAAAATCGCACAGTTGTTGAAACTGGTAGAGCGATAATGCATGCTCATGGAAACATTCAACAGAGTCTGTGGGCTGAAATGATTCGCACAGCGAATTACATCCTAAATCGAACGGGACCTTCAAGTGTTGCATGGACGTCTCCATATGAACTTTGGTATGGGAAGAAACCAAGGTTGAAACATCTACGGATCATAGGTTCCACGTGCTATGTTCATGTGCCGAAACAGCAAAGGCACAAGATGGATCGAAAAGCCATTAAAGGAATATTGATCGGCTACGACCACGACGATGGATATAGAATTTACTGTGAAGAGGAGGGCAAGCTCATTAGATCAAGAGATGTTATCTTTGAGGAGAAAACTTTACAGCAAGGGAGAGGTGTAGTAATTCCAGGAAACATCGAACTTTCTGATCAACATGGCGACTTGACGCATGCTGATAAACAGGTTGAACAAAACGATGAAACTGATGAAGAAGACGAAACCTTTTGTGGACTCGAGAGCGAGGCAGAAAGTACGGATAGTGATGAAAATAAAACACCAGAACCCATTGATGAAGATAGTGTCAACAAACCTCGACAATTACGAGATCGCTCAAATCTTAAAGCTCCGATCCGATATGACGACTACGCGCTGTATCTTTCGACATTTCAGGAACCAGAAACGTACAGTGAAGCCATGAAGTCAGATCAGAGAGAACTATGGCAAGAAGCTATGGATTGTGAGATGCAATCTCTGAAAGATAATCAGACCTGGGAGTTAGTCAGTTTACCTCCTGGAAGAAAGGCTATTCCAAACAAGTGGGTCTACAAGATAAAGACAAACGCCGATGGGTCAGTCGACAAGTTCAAGGCCAGATTGGTTATCAAAGGATTCAATCAGAAAAGAGGAGTAGATTATGATCAGACCTTTAGTCCAGTTGCAAGAATGTCAACGATTCGAACATTACTCAGTGTAGTAGCCAATGTAGGCATGAAACTTACTCAGATCGACGTTTCCACAGCTTTCTTATATGGTGACCTGGATGAAACCATTTATATGCAACAAGCTGAAGGCTATGGGGATAAATCTGGGAGAGTTTGTTGTCTGAAGAAAAGTCTGTATGGACTAAAACAGGCGTCTCGTTACTGGAATAAGAAGATCACCGAACTGCTTCTACGACTTGGATTTAAACAAAGCAAGGCCGATCCTTGTCTTTTTGTGAGACAAAAAGATGGAAAGACGATGATATTTCTTCACTACGTCGATGATGGACTGATCGCAAGTGAAGATGAACAAGAACTTCAAATTTTCATCAATGAGTTGAAGAAAGAATTCAAAATTACTTTCAAACCGGCGACATATTTTCTTGGACTTGAAATCGAACGAGAAGGAGATGGCTCCCTTCAGATCGCTCAAACTCACTACACGGAAAAGTTGTTAGAAAGATTTAACATGAGCAACTGTAATGCAGTAAGCACTCCTATTGTCAAAGATAATGAAACTGAAGAAAGTCCCCGTAATGAAAATTTTCCATACCGACAAATGGTGGGAGCACTGATGTTTTTGATGTGTGGAACTCGGCCAGACATCGCTTATGCTGTCAGTGTGGTGTCCAGGAACCTGGAGAATCCTACAGAACGTGACGTGGTTCGAGTGAAGAGAATTCTGCGGTACCTGAGAGGAACTTCAAATTATAGACTTGTGTATAAGAATGACTATGAAAAAGGAGTTCTTATCTGCTACAGCGACGCTGATCATGGTGGTGATCTCAGCACCGGACGATCAACATCCGGGGTGTTATGCCTATACTCTGGGGCGCCGATCTCATGGATGAGTCAAAGACAAGCCTCTGTTGCAATTTCCACTACAGAAGCTGAGATCATAGCCGCGAGCGAAGCTGCTCGGGAAATCATATGGATTAAAAGGCTTTTGACTGAACTTGGTCAGTTGAAAGAGACTCCTGCACTACAGGTAGACAATGAAGCTGCAATTCGATTGGCTCAGAATCCGGAATTTCACAGAAGAACGAAACACATTCGTACTCGACATTTCTTTGTACGCGAACTAGTCACTTCTGGGCAAATTAAAATTTATAAAGTAGAGTCGCAGAGACAGCTTGCAGATGTATTGACAAAACCATTGTCATCAGTTAGGTTTAGGGAATTATGCAATAATTTAGGCATGTTGTTGTTATTAAATAAGGGAGAGTGTTGATGTAATTCCTTAATTTTGTATTTAATAACCTTAGAGTGAGAAATCTATTATTTTTATGTCTATGGTATTTGACATACTCCTGTATACAAGTCGATTAATATAGAAATGTTTTATTTGGCTGCTTTTCTTGGTGAAAAATCTTAACAGAAACTCGTTTGATTTATGTTTTTTATTTATTTATTATAATCATTTATATATGTATTTTTATTTTCTCATATGAATATTACATGAAGTGCAATGCACAGTGATTATTTTTGTTCCTTTCCTAGATTGAATAACTTGTACAAAATATGGTTAAAAACGTTCTCTGAATAGTCTGTGAAATATCTGTTCTCTTCGAGAAGTCCTTGCAACAATACCACTGACTTCTTGCACAAATTGCCCATCAAAATCGTTTTCATAGTCAACCAAGTCATCAAAATCAATACAAATGTTGTGCAATACAGTTGCTGCCACAACACATTTAACAACAAAGAAAATGTTAGAATTATCAAACATTTTTAGCCTTCGAAACCTACTCTTCAATAAGCCAAATGCATGTTCAATTACAATTCTTGATGAATGTTTATAATTAAATCTTTTTTGATTGTGAGTTAATGCACCATTATCTTTATAGGGCGTAATTAACCATTGTGTACAAGGGTATGCTGAATCTCCCAATAAAAAATGTTCACCTAGAAACCCATTGCAAGCTCTATCATATAAAGATGATTTTTTCAACATTCTAGCATCATGCATAGATCCTGCTTCCCCACAAAACACATCTATAAACTTTTTCTGATGGTCACAAACAGCTTGAAGCAAAATACTGTAGTCTCCTATACGTGTCCATGCCTTAAAGAAGGTCGTTTTATGTTAATATGTGTACCATCTATAGCTCCGACAATACCATTAATGCCTTGCATTTGACAAAATCCTCTTTTTACACATTCTATTCTTTCTTCACTTGGCCATACAATGTACCTTTGACTACATTGTACTAAGAAATTTGTGACTTTTGAAATAATACGATATGCTGAACTTTTTGTTACATTGAATCGATCTGCAATTTGGCGAAATGTTTCTATGTTACTCAAATACCAGACAGTCATATAGACGGCCTTCTTTACAGAAACTTTCCTACGTCCATAGATGTGTGTCGGCAAAATTTTTGCCTGTTTAACTTTTTCGATGACAAAGTCGCATGTTGTCCTTCTTAAACGAAAGTGTTCTTTAAATTCGTCATTGTCATATTCTTCGATTGTTTGCATGTAATTGTTTATGCGATGTAGCGTTCGGCGTGGTTTTTTTCCAGTGGAACTTCCTGATGAACTAGAACTTGCATAATCCAAATCTGACAATTCCTCCAAACTCTCAACATCACTGACTGCCTCATCAAGCAAATGCTGCAAATTTTTTATTATCATTTAATACAAATTGTTTATGTAAATACGTACCAATAATGTAACATTACAAACAGAGTTATCCATTTTACTCAAAACTTCTCCAAACATAACCTTGCAAATAACAATCAACCGATGTGTCAACTGTCAACAAAAACAAGACGGAGTGAGTCATGAGTAAGTTCTGAGCTGAAAAACCACTCTCACTGTACGTCGTTCCTTTCACTCCCTTCTAAACGAAGTAGTTGATAGTGAATCGACTTACTCAGTTCAGTACTGCTCAACTCACTTCGTGGTTGAAAGGAAAGCTACTATTGGAATGCTTCTCTGTGAAGTGCAATAAACATAAATACCGAAAAAAGGGAAAGTCCGAATGCACACCCCAAACATCTGATGTATTGTATAGTAAATACGGATAAGGATAAATTTAATAAAACGGAATATTAATCACTCTCGAAATTTTTTGGTAACCGTCATCACTTTATAAACGTCTTTATAAAATCAAAATTCGACGAAGGAATTCTTCAAAACCTTGTCCCGTTTTAGGGACAATGGACAAAGAATTTTTATGACTTTGTTTGTGTCGTTGGGTCTTTTCGCTCAACCCCAGATGTTCTATTTATAATTTGCCAAGCAGGTAGGCAGGTACTTACAAAATAACACTTCTAGAGTAAACAAGTTTTCAGAAATAATTTTTTTTTTTACAAATTATTACAATGAAAAAACTTGTCTTTGGTGTATTTCTAATTAAGCCGTTGTATTTTTTGCTCTAAATATAATCAAGCATTATGAAGGCCACTTTTTAAAGAATAGGACGACCCACATTTAATTGATCATATAATTGTCAGCATTTTCCGTCGGGTGAGCTCGGCAGCCGGAGGCGGCGGGTCGCCAACGGCCGAGACTGTCCGAGCAACACCGACGCGGTGACGGGAGGAACAGGAATGGACTTGTGCTCGGATGCTGATACACGATTGTTGCGTTTAAAAGAATAAACTTCTAAATTTTGCATTTGGTTTCTTTTTCATAAAACTGTGCTGACATCAGGAGTGGGATTCTTTAAACCCTTGCGTGCACTTGTACGAGAATGCCGAAAGAGCAGCGACGCCATAAAAAAGACAAACGGCGACGTTCGCGTTGGAGTGAATCTAGTGATGGTGCAAGTGGGTCTCGTTCACCGCATGAGTGGCGGCAAAAGCACAAGAAGTTGCGGGAACCGACTCCAGAACAACAACTTGCGAGACGGCACCGCTTGCGAGCTCACTCGAGGACGAGGAGTGGCGACAGTCCTGGTCGCAGCAGTCCTGGTCCTGCTTCTGTTTCGCAAATCAATGAGGCTATAGCAGCTGGGTTTGGTAAGCTGGCAGAGCAGGTGGAGGTGCGTGAGACTCGCCAGCAGGTAAGTGGGATCCCCCTTTCTACGGCCGGCAGCATTATTGCCGAATTCGATCCTTTGGAAAACGATGTTGACGAATGGTTGGAGTCGATTGGTGAGTACGCTCAAATTTATAATTGGGACGACAGGACAACGTGTCATTTGGCGTTGAGCAAACTAAGAGGCCCAGCGCAAACGTGGTATCGGACACTGCCTAGTAGAGTGTTTACGTGGCCCGAATGGCATGACACGCTGTTGCGAAATTTTCCACCAAAGCGCGATCTCCATAAGGCGATTCAAATGATGATGGCGTACACACCAGAACAGTGTAAAACACTCTACGAATATACGTTTAATAAACTTGCGCTAATTAATAAGCTAAAATTAAATATTAACCCCACTGATCGCGTAAATTTAATAACGGGTGGAATTTGTGACGAGAAAATTAAATTCTCGGTCCAAGCTGCAGGTATTACGGACCCGATTGTTTTGGCAGGACATTTAAAAACCATCGATGATCGAGTACTTGCAACGCAAACCGCAACCCGGCACGTTTCTCACATTCCAGCGACGCGGGCTCCAGTTTCATCTATTTATAGAACTCCAAAACAAACGTCATCTCTTTCGCGCAATGATACGGGTAATAAGCCGGTCCTCGGCCCAACTTGTTTTAACTGCGGAAAATCCGGTCACTTCCATCGATTTTGTCCTGGTAAAAACCAACAAACGTCCTCACAATGAAAGTTTTGATTTCTGTTTAGTTTTTGTGTTTCTCGATGTTGTTTATGTTGCTGTGTGTTGGCGTGCTTCTTTATTTTCTTTTTTTCGAGCCAGAAGAACCCACCATCGTTGACGTCCCTGACATTCGAAACCAAATAACTGCGCGTACGACCAAGGACCAAGCCGCTCAAAAGGCTCGTTTGGACCGTGTTCGAAGTGCTGGTCAACCATATCAGGAGGGAGACCTGGTGCTGATCCGTCTAACCAGCGGCCCTGCAACCGGAACTAGCCGAAAGTTACTGCCCAAGTGGCGTGGCCCATTCCGAGTTACCAAGGTTCTCGGAAATGATCGGTATGAAGTCGCAGACATACCGGGAGCAACCAGGTCCAAGTTGCAGTACCGTGAAGCGGCCGGCATCGACAATATGAGGCCATGGGTCGTGTATGGGTAAGGTAGTACGGTTCAAATCGAAAGTAGTGCATGATGCTTGGCGCTACTCGCATTTGGCCGGCTTGTGGATTGTTGATGCTCGCTGATTCAGGCTTGACCAGAGGTTTCTGTGTTTGATAGTCTGGTGGGTGGCAGAGCTGGGTGACGATCACACAAGGTGTAGTTTTAGTTTTGTTTTGCGTTGTTATTAAGTATTATGTTCATTTAAAATTTAAGCTTACTTCTATGCGTTACATTTAATATTCGCCCTCATTTATTTTGTATTGTATTCTTGCATTATGTAAGTTTGGCCAAATTTACCCTGTTTTCTTCCAGTTACCGTCCCCGGCAGACAGGCAGCTTGCTCTCTGACTTATATCTTTAATGTAGTAGAAGTGACGATCAAAGTCTAAACCTGTATGTATGAGTTTCAGTCCGAGGACCTGGACTGAGGTGCCCATGTCCGTCGAGTGAGGACACTCTCCATGTCAGGAAAGGCCGTGTCAGCATTTTCCGTCGGGTGAGCTCGGCAGCCGGAGGCGGCGGGTCGCCAACGGTCGAGACTGTCCGAGCAACACCGACGCGGTGACGGGAGGAACAGGAATGGACTTGTGCTCGGATGCTGATACACGATTGTTGCGTTTAAAAGAATAAACTTCTAAATTTTGCATTTGGTTTCTTTTTCATAAAACTGTGCTGACATAATCTATAAAAAATGACGAAGAAAGTACGGCCTTTTGACGTCATTAATTGACGTCAGAAGTAAGTCATAAAAATCTCGTCATTTTCACGTGACTTTTTGGGCGAATGACGTCGCCGACGAGTTATGACCAAAAATTGACGTGAATTAGACGACAGTCTGCTGCTTGGGTTGAGTATACGCATGGTAGTTGGTGGACGGTAGAAGATAAAATGATTAATTCAGCGACAAATATAAACGGTTTTCTTTGTGCTGAAGATTTAGATTAAGTTTGATTAGAAATCAAAACAAAATCATGTTGCATCAAGACATTGAACGGTTATTTTTTCAATTTATTGTCTTATGGTTTCTACTAGTGAAAAAAATAGTATATTAACCACGGTTGCAAAGCCACTTCTAGACCTCGCGCTTCAGAGCCCTCGACGCTGCGCGTCTCGGGTTCTAATTTGCGCTCGGTCTAAAATGCTTGGCCTTTCAACCTTGGCTAATAATATACTATTTTATAAGTTTAAGCATATAATAAGTCTAAGTTACTTGATTATGAGTTATTAAAAAACGCTTGATTCAGTATGATACAAACAGAAGGCTTAATTATTGTAATTATTTATTGACAATTTTTATAATTGTTAATATTAAGATTAAAGGTGCAATTCGTCGCATCCTGAAAAAGACAGTTTCTTGTAATTTCTTCCAAATCACTGTTATTAACCGTGTCGTTCAAATTGGAGTTCATGGTAGTAAGGCTTTCGTTACTAATAGTAGTAGTTTTCAAATTCGCTTCCTACCAATATTCTTTTTGTTTGCTAATGAGTCCTCGATGTATCCTTCGGCAACTGTGCTTGATCGCCAACCTCCATGCCTCTTAAGGGTGGTAATATCTGCGCCGGTGTCGACAAGTAAAGTCGCCGAAGTTTTTCTCATTATTTAACCATCGAGTAATGAGACCACAAACTCGAACTTTTCACGCTTTTGGCATCTCTGAAAAATACGCTAGGAGGACACTTTCCGTGTAAACGACTGTGTTTTTTTGATAACAACAAGTAGTGAATCTCTTAAAATCTTCTTGAAAGCTGCTTCGTAAACAACACTTGATTTTGTCGGAAGAAGTTTTTCAATTTCAGCTTTCGCTATTTCGACTATTTTAGCTGGAGTTTCTGTAAATTCAGACGTTCTGCAAAAAATTGTGACATTTTTTTTTGTTTGATAAGTTTCCATAACAATAACCAAACAAGTTTTTGTAAACCGCTATCACGATTTTCGGAAACAAATTATAATGTATGTCTAAATTATTGGTACGTTGTTTTTGATATAATCTTGTAAGTTTGAAGAAAAAAGAGCATATATTATTCAAAGTATAAGTACTTTATGTGCTTCGCACGGACTTGTCTGACTCACTACCTTCGTCAGTCAACAGAGTCCATGCTCGTCACATAAATCTATACTTATACTCTTATTAATATAATCTACTATTATTTTCAAATGTCATATAACTGATACTTATCCGACGTTCTTACCGGGGTTTTTAAGTGTCATTTCTACGACACCGTGTTTGAGCGGAGCATAAGTACTACTTATACTCCGCGGGCTTATAAATAAAACATTTATACTCCGCCGGCGTATAAATAAAACATTTATACTCCGTTGGAGTATAAATATGTGAAAATTATAGTGGTTGTCAACCATAGTAATCACGGTAAGTGAAATCAAAGCAATTCCTTAATGAAGCAAAAAGATAGGAAATAATCATTTCAAAAGAAGATTAAAAGTTTGAAAAAAAAAATTGTATTTCGTTCGAAGTTTAAGTGACTTTCTGTGACTCGTATGTACGAAAATCGAGAAGTCGAGTGTTAATGCTGAACTTTTATTATGTCTCGTGTTTATTATTTTGGAATTGCGAATAGGAATCATATAACCATATA